TGTGAGAAAGAAGAGGACAAACTCTTTAGCAGGGTCTGTTGTGACAGGATAAGGGGAATGGCTTCCAATTAAAACAGGGGAGATTTAGACTGGATACAAGGAAGAAGATTTGTACAATAAGGGCAGTGGGGTGCTGGCTGAGGCGGAGCCCCATCCCTGCACACAGCCAAGGTCAGGCTGGAGGGCTCTGAGCACTGATGGAGTGTGGGTGTCCCTGTGCACTGCAGGCAGTGGGACCTGATGGCCTTTAAAGGTCCCTTCCATCCCAAATGATTCCATGGTTCTATGTTCTTTTTTGCTGTTAAGATGGGAAATAAAGAATATTTTTTTTTTGGTGTCTGTGGGTTACTTAACTATAAAGATGTGGTTGTTTTCAAGAGTCCAAAAGAGAAGAACTCTGAAAGTATTCACTCAGAACAGAGAGGAGAACTGATAGAGGACCTCTTGTGATTGAGATAGGCTAACTAATCAATAACTAATCAATAACTAATGCTCCAGTTCCCCACACATTCTGAATGCTCTGCTGAATGGACTTCAGCCTCGATGGGCAGGCTATCCAGTTTCCTCTTGAAGCTCAAAAGATGGCATCAGAGCACTGCAACACCTAGATGGGGGTGGGCAGCTGAAAGCCCTGGGTAACACAAGTGGACCTGGGCTGTGATGCAGGACACATCCAGTGTCACACTTGCAGTGCAAAGGACAGGTGACTCCAGCCACATTCTGCATCTAAAACGAAATTTTAGAGGAGGAAAAAAGGTTTTGCATTTTCAGTTCCTGCAAACCTAACCTTCACCAATATTTATATGTGTTTGATTTAACATAATGTATGTTTGTTTGCAGTTTTCTTCCTTGTATTTTTTTTAGTTTATTTTGGCTTTGTAAGGTCTGTGAAAATATTTGAAGAGTAGGAAGGATTGGGTTCTCAACCTTGTGGGATTTACTTAGTTGATCATCCATAACAAGTTCCTCTTGAGTGTCAGTCTCCCCACAATAGCTGATCTCCATCATGACAATAAATAACAGTGATGAAGTGGAGAAGGGTTTATTCTGGACAGTAACTGATGTCTGATCAAACAGAGCAGCATTAATTCCTGGTACAGAATGAAGGACACTGTACAGGTGTCAGTTTATTTAACTGCCAGTGTGCTGAGCAAGTGTCAGCAATGACTTCTCAAGAAACCGTGCCAAGCCAATCAGGGCAGTAGGAGAAAGAAGAAGGTTCCACTTGAGTTCCAATTGACCCCGCTGCCAGTTATTCTTGTAAGCAAGTATCAAAAACCTGACCTAGAAGAAAATACATCCTGGTGGATGTAGAACTACCTAAATATCCTGTTATTCAGACATGAATTATCCCTGGACTCTCTCAAACATCGCAGAGTCCACTAATGTCTGGTAGTTTCATGCATGGATTAGAGCGAGTTGGATACAGTCATAGGAGAGAAAAAGTCAACAAACCAAATGTGTGGTGTTGTTTGGCAGAGAGGTGGTGGATGCCCCATCCTCAGAGACACCCGAGGTCAGGGAACGCAGCTCTGAGCACTGATCAGGCTGGAGGTGTTGGGATGGATGGCCTTTAAGGGTCCATTCCAACTCAAACAGTTCAATGATTTTGTGATTCTATGATTCTAAGATTCTCCTCCAACTTCTGCCAGCAGTTTGTAGTTCTGGAATACCCAACCCATATTGGTGTCATGGTGTTTAATACATTTTGGAATGTTATTTCTCCTGTTAATGCGCCTGACCAGTCTCTGGACTAATCCTTTTCTCAAAGGTTTCACAGTTATTTGAAAATTGCTCTACTTTTGTCTATTTCAGACCTTGCATTTGGCAATTCCATTTTATGGCTTTAGTCCTTTTATCATTTTTTGGGCCCCTTAAGCTATTGGCAAGCAGAGTTCATTACTCCACAATAACATGCTTGCACTCACCCATCTCTTCTATCTGATCTTGAACTGATGTTATCAAGAGATTAAAGATGAATAGAAATATTGTTTGATGTTGGTTCTTTCTTGTCTTTCATATTTGTCTTATTTCCAACTGATTATCTTTTCGTCCAAGTTAGATGAGTTCGCAGTTGTTCCTCACTCCCCAGCAGAATGCAGAGACCATCCACAGTGCAGCAGAAGTAGGGATTTCACATCCCCCAATGGTTTGGACTGAAGGTGCTGCTCCTGCACTGAAGAAGAGAAGACTGTGGGTAGATTGCTGGAGGACGAGCAGGGCCAGGTATGTACCCCTCATTTTCACACTAGGCTTTGCTTTAAGCTCTTCATTACTGATAAGTGCACACAAACTCTAAGTCAGTGCTTAATCTCCCTTCTGGTAAATTGATGGGATTCTCTAAGGGCTTGTTTGAGCCTAAAGAGTTGGTTACTTAAACTGAATTTAAACCACAGTGCTCTTTTGTGGTGGCAGTTATACCAGGCACAAGTGACACGTGTAGCACTTTTTTCCCACTGCAATCATCAGCTCTGTCTTTTGAAACAATCTTGACTGCTGTTCAGTTCTTTCTCTCACCTTCCTGCCCGCCCATGGGAGTGCAGCCCTTCCTCCTCCTGCTCCACCTTGTTCTGTGCAACTGCGCTGTTCTTTGTCCAGTCTTTGCCACCCACACGGATCAGCATTAATTTTATTTCCATTTCCAGCTTACTGGTGATGACTCCTTTTAACTCCCACTGCCATCGTTTACTTTCATAAAATTCAGATGGTCCCTTTCACCTAGTAGAAAATTGTGGTGTGCCTTTATTCTTTTTCTCTTTTTAACTGGTTTGCCAAAAAGTAAGTCAACATTTACAAAAAAGGGATGGAGAAGTGTGTGCACCTTTCTCAATCCAGGCAAGCCAGCCAGCAGATATTTCCTTTTGGCTCAACCTGTTCCCAGGTTCTCCCCATTTGGCCACTCCCAGGTCAGACCCAGCTGATTCCTGCCCTGCTGCAGATGCTATATAAGACTGGCTACTTTCCCAGTCTCACTAGTTCTGCAGAGATGGCAGGTGAGATCAGTGCTTTTTATTTCTAAATCTGTATTTAGTCACTTTGGTGTTACTGCTATTGGTATTGATGCATTCCTTGGCTGAGCACAAGGACATGAGAGGATAGAGTAAGGCATGAAGAGCCATTATTTATTCTTAATTCCTTCTCCCAGCATAGCTGAAACACACTCATTTTGAGAAGTGGGAGAAGAGAGCTCTCTCCACTACAGCAAGTTCATTAATTCTTCCTTATTTTGCCTTTATTTCCTGTTTTAAACAGTTAAAATGTTGACAAAATGACTTTTATGTTTGTGTGTGTGTGTGTATATATATATATATATATATATACATGTATATATATATATATATATATAACTGCAATCTTTTAGTTAAGTATCTCCTTTCAAGGAAGCACCCTGCCATTGTATGTATGCTATGTACATACACACATACATGCTGGAGGACATGTGCTAGCACATCAATCTCTTCTGATGCTTTAGAGAATCTCTGCACATTCACTTAGACTGAACTGTGAATGATGTTGTGTTTCCCTCTAGGTATAAAACTCAGAATTGCTCTCCTAGGATCCCTCATCACATTCTGCTCAGCTGGGGCATCAGAGTCCTCATTAAACAGTAATTTTGTTTCTCTATCTGCTGCTCTTTTGCTTGAAGAGGTGTGGCGCTGGGTGGGGGATTTGAGTCAAGCTCAGTCTGATTACCTAATTACAGTTTCAATAAGGAATTGTAGAACTATTAAAGTTGAAAAAGACCTCTAAGATCACCGAGTCCAACCCCAATCCATCCCATGGCCCATTGACCATGCCCCTCAGTGACACATCTCCACAGTTCTTGAACACCTCCAGGGAAAATGACTTTAATGTATTTGAAATTTACCTGCTAACAGTGAAGTCAGTGCCTAAGAGAATTATCTATGTTGGGTCTCTCAAGGATATGAGTACCTTCTTATGGCAGGAAGATTGGTATGGACCATGTATCAGGTTTCTTCCACGCATGTCCCAAGTGAATATCCCTCTTTACAGAGAAGAATAGTTTGAATAAGAAAGGTGAAAGTTAACTCCCTTGAAGTCAAGAGAGTCAAGTTTGACATGGATAAAAAAACTATAATTTGGTGGTCATCTGTAGTCCCATGATTTTCAGAACCTCAGCAGTGGGGTGAGGTAGATGAGCAAGAGGAACACAGATAAAGGCATTAATGTAACACTAGACACAGAGTGGGAATGTGATGCAGTGGGGTGTAGAGCTCCTAGTGCACATGCAACATATCTTCAGCTTCTTCTTGTTTCCCCCTTTTGGACTAGAGGGCTCAGAAGTACTATCAGACTCACTTCTCCTGAGGAGCATCAGTGAAGCCAAGCAGCAGGTGGATGCAGCGTATTTACATGCTCGGAAGTGGTGAGTCCTTTTCTGCACGAAAGCTCCAACGTTATCAGGCAGTAAGACAGAACCTATGGGGGCTGCTCCGAAAGTAATGCCTCCTGTTTTATGATGTTGGCCCACAATGTCAGAGGTGGATGCTGGTGGTGTGGAAGCACAGGCTGACCTCTGGGGAAGGGTATCTCTCTACGAATGATCCGTGTGGCCAGGAACAGAAGCAACATATCCAAGATTGTCTCTGCTCACTGTGACATCCTAAATGTAACATCCCATCACTGAAAAACTCAGTTTACCACCAATTTTTATAGCTTTTCACGTAGATTAACAGGTCTCATTCTGACAAGGATATAGAGCAAACCTGAAAGGAATCACAATGACTCATTTCCCAAAATTTTACTGAGAGAGGGAGATGTGCAAATCTGAGGAGCAGTCAGGTTGTTGTAGAAGAGCATGGTGTACCTGGGGACCTGCTAGTTCCATCACGTCGAAGTACACCAGCCCCACAGGGCAGAGGTGTTTTCAGAGTAGGCAGCCCATGAAGCTCTGTTCTGTTTAGCTTACAGCAAAAACTAGGGGATGAGTTTACCAGCCCAGTGGATTTCCTGAAGCACTTAAAGGATCCAGTAGGAAGAACCAGATCTGCAGTCCGTGCTGCTGACTACTTGGAAACTACTTTGAAGCTCCTCAAAAGGAAGCTGCAGCAGTCTGGGAGGATGAGATTCAACATTACAGGTAATGCATTTTAGACCAAAATATCTTTCCAACAAAGGAAAAGCTACCACAGCATGTGTGTCAGAGCAGCTCTGCACTGACCCAGACTGCTGATTACAAAGCCCTGCTACGATCCTGAGAACTGGTCAAGAAGCCCAGACTGCCAGCTGGTGTCACCTGCCTGAAGGGTGCTGGGTGTGCAGGGGCTGAAAGATAACCGTGCTCAGAGGCAGACCCGGACCACCTGGTGTTTCAGCCATCAGCTTTGGCACTGCTTATCTCAGCTCCCGTCTTTGATGATAATACCAAGCTAGGGTGAGTGGAATAGTAACAGGATTGCTAAAAATCAGTGGGGTACATCTGGGGCATAATGGGCTGAGCGCCGGGACACTGCACTTTCTGAGCTGATCCACTGCTGACACACACAAGTGTTTAGGCCTCAACTTAACAGTGAAAATCCAGATGTTGTATCTCCACAGTTCTCACCCAGCTCACAGCTTGCATGCCTCTAGGTGGCCCAGTCTTCCTATGCTAGGGAACAGGAAGGATCCACAGATTAGCAATTTCTTGTCTATTTTGACTGAACGTTTCTGAGATATCAAACAAAGTGGGTTTTCAAATTCTCCCAGAAGTCTGCGTGGTACACCCTGCCTTCTTCCAATGGATTATTTACTAGAACAATGAAAAGAACCGTCATATAACCTTGCTGATTACAGCTAAACCCTGCCACAGCTCAGTGGTCTCCCTGGGCTCAGCACTGTGCATCCACCAAGCTGACATGGACAATCTGTCAGTGTGAAAGACTTCATTAGTGCTGAGCTCTATGGTGTCATCCCTCACTTCTAAGCCTCATCATCCCACTACTGTGTCTCACATCTCATCAGATCCTTTTCTTGGGGTAGGGTTTGTCCCAGCTGAAATTGACTACACATGGGGTAAGTTTTGGGTTGAACAGCAGTTCATTAGAGAGGTAAAGGCACTTGGCTGAAGGTGTTTTAACCCACATTCTTGGCAGCTGGCTGAGGAGGGCATCACTAAATCACAGAATCATTAAGGTTGGAAAAGTCCTCTCAGATCCCCAAGTCCAACCCCAGCCCACCCCACCATTCCCATCACCCTCAGTGCCACATCTCCATGGTTCTGGAACACCTCCAGGGACAATGACCATCAGCTCCCTGGGCAGCTGTGCCACTGCAGCACACACTGGACTCTCCACAGACTCTGCTTACTAGGGGTGGATTTCGCTACTAGAGCAGAGTGACTCTGGATGAGCTGATGATATGTGGCACAGAGAGACTCAGAGGCAGAAGTTATTCTGGGGAATTCAGGTTCTGAGTATCAGCTGGTGCACAGCATATTTCTGCATATGTGCTCTTATACCAATAAATGCTGTGGAACTAATATCTGTCACAAAATTAGGATAAGTGGAGACCTCCATTTGCTAGGGTGAGTCATGACCTGAGTTCTGTCAATGTAACTACTGCTAGGATAGTCTCTGGTTGACTCTGGGCACCTAAAGACAGTGCATGAACCTTCTTCATGGATAAGTCGTTAAGCTCAGTCACTGAGCTCACTGAAGCCATTGGACATTTAAAATCCCTGAGAAGGAGCATTACCTGGTATCTATTGCTGACACTCAGTGCAGACCCACTCTGTGATCCCCTCCAAGGCTCTTGTGCTGCTGAGAGGTGAAGTAGACAGATCATATTGGTGACAGAATGTATCCACAGCAAGAGTGTGCTTTCTCCTGCTTTAAATTGGAGGAAGCTTGAAATAACATTAGATGCTGGTGCAGTGGGTGCTGACATTACTAATAATACAGAGAATTTCAATCATCAGCTGAGAATGCTGAGATGATAAAATACAGCTCTTAGCAGATGTCATTTTGCATCATTTCTTTTGCAGACCTATTGGATAGGAAACAGAAAGAGATGATTTCCAAAGAAACTGGCTGTGGCTATCAGATTCGCTCCATTAAATGCCCAGAGGACGACGTTTACCGGACCATTACTGGAGAGTGCAACAACAGGTAGGACTTGTGATGTAACTGATGTTTCCTTTCTGCTCAGTACAGGCAGGAAAAAGATTTCATGTCTTGAAAACATCAGATATGAATCCATCGCTCTCCATGTGAGAATGGGGGAATCTTTTCTTGATGTTAAAAAGTTTATTTTTATCCACAGTAATTATCTTGGCATTGCTTGCTTCTTAATGTTTCCTGGCTATCACCCCTGCTACTGGAGTGGTCAGGCATGGACCAAGGGCTGCCAGTCATTAGGGACATGGTTGGTGGGCAATACTGGTGGTAGGTTGAGTTGGGCTGGATGATCTTAGAGGTCTTTTCAAACCTTAATGGTTCTGATTTATCTTTACAAGCCTGTTCATTTCTGAAATAATACTGGTGTTGGCTTCTCTTCTGATGTTCCAGAAAGAACCCTCACTTAGGGGTTTCCAACCAGGCATTTGCTCGCTGGCTCCCGGCAGCGTATGAAGATGGAGTGTCTGTTCCCAGAGGAGCAACTGAAGGAAAGCTTTATAATGCATTTCCACTCCCACTGGTGAGAACAGTGATACTTGTCTGGGTAACATTACTGATAGAGTCATAGAATGGCCTGGGTTGAACTGCACCCATCAGTTTGGAACACTGGTAACATCTAAAGTGTGAAATGAATGATCCTTTTCTGTGACCTCAGGTGCAAATAATTTTCTCAAACGGAGGTTTGTCTTAGGCTCATGTGCTTGTCAGAGACAGAGAAAAAATGATGCAAGTACTTCACTATGCAAAGCATGGGCAAAATCAAAGTATTTTCCAAAGTGTACATCCTGAGGCTGGGTGCAGGCAGCACCATGCTGTACTCAGGTATGCCAGGATATTTGTACAAAGAGTAAGATGCTGGTGTTCCTCATAAAATCATTCAAATTGGAAGGGACCATTACAGGCCATCTGGCCCAACACCCCTGCAATGCACAGGGACACCCACAGCTCCATCAGTGCTCAGAGCCCCTTCAGCCTGACCTTGGGTGACTGCAGGGACAGGGCATCATCGCCTCTCTGGGTAACCTGTGCCAGTGCCTCACTGCCCTTATTACAAAACTTCTTCCTTATATCCAATCTAAATCTCCCCTCAGCCATCTTTCTTTCTGGGTATACGCACATCCCTCAGGTTGAGCTCAGGCCTGCTGTAAGGTGAGGCTTGACTGGGTGACCATGGAGTTAAGACAGTGCTGCCAAAGGGCTGGAGGCTGTATATCATACCAGTTTAGGTCCAACTGGAACATGATGTCATTCTGTTTAATGCAGTAATTAACTCTTAAAGGCTCATTTGAGACCATCTTATCCATGGTTTCACAATGGGAGTTAGACTGGGAGGTAAATTCCCCTTATTACAGACAGTCACGTGCATCTCCATTTTGATTTTCTGCAGGTTCGAAAAGTGTCCAATGAAGTTGCTCATACAGCCAATGAGAACATCACTCAAGATCAAGAGCTTTCTCTTTTCTTCATGCAGTGGGGCCAATGGGTCAACCATGACATAGACTTGGCCCCTTCCAGTGGCATAGGAGCAAACCCAGAGCTTCACTGCGATGCTGACTGCAACTTCAGGTCCCCTTGCTTCCCAATTAAGGTACCGTGACTTCCGTTCCATCCCAGAACAAACAGCCACAAGGCTTTCTCCGAGGCATTACTTATGTTTATTTCCTTTAGTTCCCCCCTGATGACCCACGGATGCTGAGATCAAATTCCTGCATGCCTTTTATCCAGTCAGCTTCTGTGTGCAATCCCTGGACGTTTACTCGTGAACAGATCAATGCTGTCACCTCCTTCATTGATGCCAGCATGGTGTACGGCAGCGAGGAGTCTGTGGCAAAGAGCCTTAGGAATCAAACAAACCAGCTGGGTCTGATGGCTGTGAACCAGAATTTTACTGATGCTGGGTTGGAATTATTGCCCTTTGAGAACAAAACAAAAAGTGTTTGTGTACTCACAAACAAGAGCGTGAACATCCCCTGCTTTAGAGCTGGTAAGGTGCATCTGTAGAGCAATTTTGACTCTTTTATTGCCCGTGAGAAGAGCGCCTTGGTGCACAAGGAGAGACTCATGTTTGTACCTTCAGCTGTTGGAGGGACTGCACCATGTGTCTCCCAGTTGCCTCCACCATTTCTGCTGAAAGCACATTCATAGAGCTCTCAAAGGTGTTTATAACTTGAGGGAGCTGAGACAAATTTTCAAAACCAAACATTTGTACAAAGGAAAATTGCCAAAAGCCTTAAGGTACAAGAGGAAGACAGACAGGAGGTTGTCATAAAATGAGATATTTACAGCTGCTTCATGAACAAGTGCAATGTAGTTCAGATTGCCCAAATCCCTTTTTCACCATCCCTGGGGACGATCAAGAAACATGGAGATATGGCAGTGAGGGACATGGTCAGTGAGCAATATTGGTGGTAGGTGGGAGACTGCACTGGGTAGTCTTAGAGGTCTTTTCCATGTCTTTTCTATGGTTCTCCAATGGTTTTGGCTAAATTATTTGCAGAAGGAGAAAGGAAATGCTTGGTCTGTGCTGGAAATTTCTGGCATGACTTGATGACTGCTAGGAAACTTAACCACAGGCAGTACTACCAACAACACTGCATATCTGCCTACCATCAAAATCTGCTGTGGAAATATAAAGCAGTTGACCAATTTCCTAAAATACTTTATCTGTAGGTGACAAACGGGCAACAGAGAACTTGGGACTTTCTGCTCTGCACACTGTCTTTCTTCGAGAGCACAATCGCCTGGTGACAAGGCTGGGAAAGTTAAATCCTCACTGGGATGGAGAAAAGCTTTACCAGGAGAGCCGAAACATCATAGCTGCCATGACCCAGGTAGTGACCACTGCTCTTCTTAGAAATTGTTTTTCCTCCTCCAAATACAGCAAAATAACCCTTTGAAGAACTCATGGAGATTCCGAGTTCTCTTTGAATTTGATGTCATTTCTGCTGTAGCTGCTGATTGTTTGTTCTACGTTTATGGTATTTCTTTCAGATAATAACATACAGAGATTACATACCACTTCTGCTTGCAGAGGAGACCAGCAAGTGGATTCCCTTGTACAGTGGTTACAACGAGACTGTGGATCCGACGGTGTCCAATGTTTTCTCCCTGGCCTTCCGATTTGGTCATGCCTCAGTGCAGCCTTTTGTATCCCGTTTAGATGACAGCTTTCAGCCTATGGGTTCACTTTCCCACGTCCCTCTCCATCTGACATTTTGTGCATCGTGGAGAATTATAATGGAAGGTAAGAACTCAGGGCCTCCAGCAGTCCTGATCTGGTCCTGAAGTTGACTCTCAGGTGCAGATGTGCTGGTCAGACACTCAAGCATAGACTCACAAAAATTAGCACCATTCATTTAACTGGTTTCACCACTTACAGTGCCATTCATCTTGGAAGCAGACATGTCTCCCCAAGAGGCTCAGTGGTCTCCTAGCTGTGAGGCACCAGGACAGTCCTGTAGAAATATCTCCAAATGCAGCCCAACAACACTGGCCCTGCACTGAACCCAGGTGAAGGAGCCCTGCCAAAAGCTGTATATAATATTCAAACCACTGAATGCTACCAAGCACCAACTCCAACCGTGAGAAGCCATTTCAGATTTTCCATCAGAACACACAATTCTGTACCTTCTTTCACGCTGCCAAGTATCACTCAGTAAAAATATAGGCCAGTGAAAACAAATAGTTTATATCCTTCTGTAACTGGTAGGGGTTGTCAGAGGGTAATGAATCCAATCCAACTGATGGGATAATTGCTTTCTAATGGTGGCCCTCCCTCTTCAAGACTCTAAAAGGAGTTGCAGGATCCAGCTCTTAGACAGTTAATGTCTTCAGGCAAGAATCTTCCCAAGAAAGATGGTTGTCTCTTCCAAAATGAATGATCTTACTATGGAAAATATTCTGAAGTATACAAATTCACTAATTTCTGCTGTGTTTTAATGATTCTGTCTTCTTAATGGCTTTGAAGAACACACACAAAAAGAGACAAAAACTGATTTCATTTTCACATTTCATGTTCTAAAACATATTTGCTAACTGGTAGGTAATTCTAAACAGAAACTGCAAAACAAAACACTGGACAGAGCCCCATGCATCAGTGCTTGCTGGGAACTGACTGCTCGAGGAGCAGCTCTGCAAAAGAGGACTGGGAGATCTTGGTGGATAACTAGTGGGTGTATGGGTGCTGAGGGAATGGGAGAAGTAGGCAGTATAACTGCTAAGGGGAGCCTCAACTGGGTTTTGCAGATTCGTACATATGCACGTTCATATGTTGGAATGGAAATGTGAATCTAAGTGAACACACTGCTCAGAGTAGGAAAAACATCTAACACAGCACTGTTTCATCTGCTTGAAAGAGACCACCAAAGCTGGAACTTGGCAAAAAGTCTCTTTTTGATTTGCAATGAATGCAGGTGGCATCGATCCACTGATACGTAGCATGGTGGTTGATCGTGCAAAACTGATGAAACAGAATCAGATGCTCATTGAGGAGCTCCAGAACCACCTTTTTGAACAAACAGAGATAATGGGTCTGGATCTAGCAGCTCTGAACTTGCAGCGGGGAAGAGACCATGGGCTTCCAGGTAAGGAGACTCAAGCCCTGTCCCGCAGACAATACTCCTTTTCCTTTACTGGTTATAGCAGCTCTGTGAATGTACACCCATGGGGGAAAAAAATGATACTTCGATTTGAGATGGCAGTCAGATTCAGAGAAGAGGTCTTCATATTGTAAAGATCTTTCTCTGGGAAATTTACAGAGATTTTAAAAGGGCTTGGGAGGCAGATGTGATATTTGGAAAAATTTGTTAAAGATGGGTAGAAGCAATGGTGTATTGCAAAGAAAGATTGAGGGGTAGAGCAGATACAGTCCCAATCGACCAAGCTCAGTTTTCACATGAGCTCAACAAAACATATGCTCTTTGCCCACCAAGAATTGTTCCATGTCTTCAGACAACCCCCAGCTCTGAACAGAAGTGGCATGTGCCCTCGGTGGTAATTGCCTCCAGATGCTGCAGAGGAATGGGTGTTTTGGGGGTAAGCACAACCACGAGGTGCTATTTGCTAGGATTTTAAGCCTAGAAATGTTGCCTCCCAAAACTGTAAGAACAGATCCAGTCATGCTCAGCACCAGGTCGTTTGAATTGGCAGATTATGCTGAAGCAGTGGCAGAGCATACAGAAGACCCAAAATACTCGTTTAGTGTATGCATTCCTTAACAGACACTTGAAAACCCTGACTCTAACCCTAACCCCAAACCTCAATGTAACCCTAAAACTAACCCAGACCCTAGCAGAAATACTAACCCTAGCCCTAAACCTAATGGAAACCCTAACCCTGATCCTAAAACAAACCCATACCCTAAACCATCACCCCAACACAACCCAGAAACATTAACCCTAACCCAACCAAAACCCGAACCCTGCAGCAAATCTCAACCCTAAACCTAACCCTAACAATACCCAAACCAAACCCTAACTGCAACTCTAACCCTTAATCCTAACTCTGACCCTAACACTAAACCTTAACCCTGACATAGCATCTGTTGTAACTGTTTCTATCTAGCTAAGAACGTCTTCCAGAACCTTTAGTACCATAGGAAGATGCAGACACTGCTGAGGGCTGTGGGGTCTGTTTAGCTCTTAGTGCAGGCAGACAGGTGGACAGCACGGGCTCTGAGCAGCTTCTGTCCCCGTTGTTGCAGGTTACAATGCCTGGAGGCACTTCTGTGGGCTCTCCCAGCCTCGAACAGTGGATGAGCTCTCTGAGGTGCTGGGCAATAGTGAACTGGCCAAGAAGTTCATGGACCTGTATGGGACACCGGATAATATTGACCTCTGGATTGGGGCAATTGCAGAGCCCTTCATTCCCCGGGGCAGAGTTGGGCCCCTCCTGGCCTGCATCATTGGCACCCAGTTCAGGAACTTGCGTGATGGGGACAGGTAGGTGGCTCTGAGGGCGTGCCATTCCCGCCCCATCTCCCACATATCACTGAGTGCTTGCAGCAGGGCTCACACTTTGGTTTTAGCCTTGGTTGCCGAAGGGCTCTTTCTTAACAGCTGATTTGTAGAGACACTCATGGCTGATGAATGCCAGCTCCAGCCCACGGGTCATCTGCAGTAGTCTCTGCTTGAGGTGAGATTTGCTCTCAGGGCACTAAAGGGAAGGATCAGTCCCTGTGTCCCAGTGATGCTATGTTAAAGAGGCAGCCTCTTTGTACAGGCAGCTGAGTGTGGCAGAATCAGACTTCTTTCCAAAGAGTAGTGCTTACTGCCTGATGGATGAAGGTGGATCTGAGCAGAGATTCACCTGGGCCTGGTGTCTATTTTGGGAAACAACCAGCACTAAACACCTTCAAGAATACTGTAAGTTGCTTCTGAAAATATCATTGCAGGTTCTGGTGGGAGAACCCAGGAGTTTTCACTCCGCACCAGTTGGAAGAACTGACAAAAGTCTCAATGTCGAGAGTGATCTGTGATAACACCCACATCAACAAGTTACCCAGGGACATGTTCAGGGCCAGCAGTCCTGAGAACTTTGTTGACTGCCATGAGATCAACACGCTCGATCTCTCAGCCTGGAAAGATGAGCCTGAGAGGGGCAGCAAAGGTACGTAGGAGATTTCCCTCGTTTGAATGCTCTCCAAGAAAGAATATAAAAGAATTTAGAAAGAAATAAAAGAATTAAGGTCGTCATGGTGATCCTGCCATCCCTTCAGCCCCACTCAGACGGCTGTCAGCCTGATCTCCTTGCAGTCCATCCCTTAGAAGATAACTCTTCCTCACCAATCAGATGGAAAATCCCTGACAATCCGCCCTGTCCAAGTCCCTGTGAATGTGTCCTTCCCTCAGCAATGTATTCCAAGCCAGGCAATCTATTCCAGGACAGCCTGAGTTTGCCTTCACAGGAAAGATGTCCATGAAGAAATCAATCAGGATTACTCAATCCACTTCAATCTTCAATCTGCCAGACTAAGTCTCTGCTTTCCCCTTGCTTTTCCTAAAGCTTTATATTATTTTGAGGACTATCTAGAGCTATTTTGACAGTGCATGGCCTGACACAACAGTAGTCTAACACACACAGCCATGATTATGATACAAGGTGGTACAAGAGTGCCTTTATATAAAGAACAGCCAACCACACATCTCCAACTACGTGTATTTTGGCACAAGCTCTTCCAGCTGGGAATGGATGTGAAGAGAACAGAAGCTTGCACAAGACAGAGCAGAGGAGTTTTTCCTTGTAGCAACCCACATACAGATTATCAGATTGTCCTTCTGCACAGAGCACAGACATCTCCATGCAGTTCCCGTGGTCAGCTTCATTCGCGTTATGCGAGAGGGATACCAGCATGTGAGAAAGACACGGGGTGTAAGGGCTGAATTGTGGTGACTGCTTTGGAAACCTAACTGAGGTGTCACTTCCCTTCCCTCTGAACAATAGCAGCTTCCTGATTTGTTTATGAACTTCATCTTTTGGTCAGTGAGACGCGTTGAGCTGCTTCCTGTGACCTTTTTATCACCACGCTGGGAGGAAGCTGAGCTGCCTTTGCATAACCCGGCAGCAGTGAAATTGCAGGGCATTGAAAACCAACAGTTCAGAGTGAAACTTCCTCAAGCACCATGAGTTTGTCCCAAAAAGCACGGTTCCAAAGGGCCTTCAGGTCACTGGAGGTACTTTTTGACCACAGTGTCTCAGAGGTGAAAGAAGAACAGGTGAACCAGGCTATCTGCCATGATGTCCCTATTGCTATTTTAAGCTATGCAGTCACATAGAAATATGGAGAGAAGTAGATGCACAGCAAAGACTTTCTGATGCTCAGTAGCCTTTCCTGCTTTGTGGGCAGTTTCTAATCCTGCTCTTGCAACCAGTGCTGGAAATTCCTAATGATGGCACCCCGCTGCTTTTTGGAATCTGCTGCCCACAGTCCTGCTGAGCCAGTTGCTGCTGAGGGAGGCTTTGGCACGTGCTCCCAGAGAGGAGCTCAGGACTGAGTCTACAGATGTGTTTGCTTTACTGTGATGGGATTATCCCGTGGATGTGTAAAACAGTGCAATCCTTCATGCAGAGCAATGATGTTTGGCCATCTCTTGCCCTAAAACTATTCAGGGTTTTACGAGACTGGGCTAGGTGCTCTCTGTTTTTAGGAATGTTAAAGGCACAGCCAAAGCAGATGGTTTCTACACCCCGCCATGAAGGGGTGGCAAATCTGGAAGTCAAAGCGCTTGTATGAAACAGGTTTCAAATGTTGTCCTTGATTATAATCTCTTAATCGCAGTTTATTACATGCTGATTTAGCCTTCTAATCAAATTCCTTTTTCTTTGCCCCACTCAGAGTTTAGCAAGTTCATGTAATCTTTATCACAACACCCGTCATGTCCTTTTGCACAAAAGCACAATTCTGGGGGCTCTTTCCAGTTCAGAGTGAGATTTCAGTCTCTGAAGACACTGGAGAATGTTAGCTGCATTTTGAAGCACAGAGACAGCTCTGCTGGGCATTAATAAAATACTTAATTGCACTCATTGACCTTTGGCATCCGCTCTGGCACGTCAGACATCTGTCCCAAAACTTGGAGAGCTGCTGTCTGTTCCAGGCCACGGCCGCAAAGTTGGCCCATACACAAACACAAACCACTTTTCCTTTTTAATCACAGTACAGCCCATGGTTTAAAGAAGCTCTGTACCTGAAACTCAAGCTTTTAAAATGTGTTTATTTTATATCTTATTCATGCTCTACTCTCCCTCACCTGCAACAGAAATCGTGTTGAGGACATAGAGAAGACAGGGAAAAACCAGGAAGCTTCCAGAAATCAGGAGATGCAGCTCCCATTGTGGATCAAAAAAAACCATTCTGTTAAAAAATCATGAGATTTTTCAGGGCAAGACAAGGACTTCAAGTGATGCATTTCTGCAGTTTGCCTCTAAGTCCTGTGGGCACATTCCTTTGTGCTCTCAAGATCTGACCAACCATGGAACACAAAACCTCCCTTTGCCTAAAAGGGCAAGACAAGACAACCAATTCCTCAGGCAGGATGGCCACAGGCTCTGGGATAAATGCCTCCATCTTGGCTTTTAGAGAGAAGAGGTGATTAAGCACACAGCAATGGTCACAGAAAAGATCCACCTTGTCCTGGGGTCCAAGATGGAGAGAAGCTCTCAGAGTTAAGAATACAAAGTATTGTCCAGTTGTCCATTGAGTGTCCATCCATAGAGCTCAGGCAGCACAGTTCTCAGAAAGGAAGTTGACAACCATTTTACCTCTTCCACTTAAATGTTTTTCTTCTTCTGTGGACTTTTTTTTTGGCACGGTCCACCGCAGCATCCTTCTCTCCAAATTGGAGAGGTATGCACTGGATGGGTAGACTGTTCAGTGGATGGGGAACTGACTGTGAGTTGTGCTGGGATCAGAGCTCTTTATAATCTCCATCAATGACATTAACAGTGGGATTGAGTGCACCCTCAGCAGCCAGTGGATCACACCAAGCTGTGTGGTCAGTGTGCCTCAGGGACGGGATGCCATCCAGAGAGACCTGGTCAGAATGAGCGGTGGGAACCCGCACCTGGTCATGGCAACCCCTGCTATCAGTATAAGCTGTGGGGTGTAAGGATGGAGCGCAGCTATGCCAAAAAGGACCTGGGGGTACCGGTGGGTGGCAGCTAGGCACGAGCCAGCAGTGTGCCCTCACAGCCCAGAAAGCCAGCCGTCCCCTGGGTGTACCCAAAGCAGTGTGGCCACCAGGGCAGGGAAGGGATCTGCCCCTCTGCTCTGTGCTGTGATCTCACCTGGAGCACTGTGTCCAGATGGGGAGTGCTCAGCACAGGAGAGACATGGAGCTGTTGGAATGCGTCCAGAGGAGAGCCAGAAAAATGATCCCAGGGAATACATCCCTACAAGGACAGGCTGAGGGCTGGGCAGATGGAGAGGAGAAAGCTGTGGGGAGAGCTGAGAGCAGCCTTCAGTATTTAAAGGAGCTGTAAGAAAGGGGATAGAGTCTTTAGCAGGGGTTGTTGTGACAGGACAAGAGGGGAGACTGAGATTGGATACAAGGAGAAAGATTTGTACAATAAGGGCGGTGAGGCACTGGCACAGGTTGCCCAGAGATATGGGTGCCCCATCCCTGCAGACACCCAAGGTCAGGCTGGAAAGGCTCTGAGCACTGATGGAGCTGTGAGTGTTGTACCAGATGGCTTCAAAAGTCCCTTCCAAATCAAATGATTCCATGCTTTTGCCTGTCACTATCAGGCTTGCAGGCTTTGTGTTTTCTGCTTCCAGGCCTTTTTGTGGTTGTGGGATCACTCATGGGAACCCCCATTCGTCATTCCTGATATCCTCTGATAGGCACTCATCATGGAGTCACGGACCTGCTCGGTGAGCTTGGGAACATCATCTGGGCTCAGGCCAACTGTCTCCACTGCTGGTAAGATCTGGATGGTGCTCGTCCCTGGAAGAGCAAGACAGGGGGGTCAGGGAGGGGGAGTGCTGTAAGACAGCATAGAAGATATAGCAGAGCAACTGGTGCAAGCCAAGGAGCAAGACAGAAATAGGTGCAAGATATTATTTCACACACCAACAGCTGTGTAGCAACCCAGATGCACACAGCAAAAACCTAAACCAAACTTTCCCTGTCCATAGAGATCACTATGCACAAATGTCTGACTACATCCAAAATGCAAAAAAAAAAACCCAACCCAACGTGAAAAGGTGGAAAGAAGTCATCCATCATATGGTTGCCCTAGAGCTCAGAGTCTGTCTGAGCAAAGAGAATGAGAGGTCTGTAGCACAATGCATGCAAACTGGTCATGCTCTGATCTACGTATACTGAATTCAGCAGAGTTCTTGCTTTTAGAAATGCACTTTGGGATGAGAGAAACCATGCCAGAAATCCTTGGTTTGCTGAGATATATCATACCTCTTTCAGGAGGCATGGACTGGTGCAAACAGGAAAATTAAACTAGGGAGTTGTCTTCACACTCCTCTGTTCCTGTACCCAGGGGCCCTTGTTCTGGCCAGTGGAGACGAGATGCTGCCTGCACAGATACCCACCCGAACATCTGGGGAGTGCCTGTATTACTTTTCAACGTCTTTGCATGCCTTTACATGTATGCTAAGAAATAAGATCCAGAAGTGTTGCTGGCAGAGCCTTGCAAAGGTGATGAACTGAAGCATGGAAAAGAGCTTCCCAAAAGAGGAGGGCATAAACCCACGCGACACATTGAACATCTGGAACCCCTGCTCGTGTTCCCATCAAACTGCCAGCGGGGGAATGCTTCCAGAATGAAAGGTTCTTGCACGGCCAGCAGGGGACAGAATAGGCCCAGTGAGAGAAAGTTGAGTAGAAACAGACAATGCAGTGTTTAACTTTGTCTTCGAGGTGTTTGCCTTCAGGGGAATGACTGCGGAGTTACAAATGATTACAGGAATGAGAATTTCCTAGGAAAGAGCAGGTCCTGCTCCTAGGAAAGGCTGGCCTAAAGGGAGGATAGGAAGTGGCAGAAGCCCATTTTGGGTTGGCATCAGGGAAGAAAGGGGAGGAACAGTGTGGGCTGTTTTTCTCTGTAGGAAAATGAAAGATTTTTTTTCTACCTTATCCCTTTTAAGCCCAAGACTCTGCCCCCACATAGCACACCGTTATCTCCCACCAACATCAGGGCTCCTCCAAGGCTATGCAAGCACCCAGCCCCAGGTGATCCTCACCTGATGTGAATCTCTTCTCATTCTGGCTGTAGAAGCTATTGTAGGAAGAGATCACTACAGGAACAATGGGGATCTGTGGGAAGCAGGCAACAGTGAGTGAATCTATAAACGGCCCTGTACCACCTGCAGGCTTCTGGATGGGTGCTCAGTCCAAAGGGAAGTGAGGGACCAGGTTGTTGGTGGCCAAACTGCATCCCAAGGGGCAGGAGGAAGGCGGCTCTCACCTGGGCTCTCACGGCCAGCTGGAAGGCCCCACGTTTGAAGGGCAGCATGGAGCCACTGTGATTGCGAGTTCCTTCAGGGAAGATCAAGACATGGAACTGCAGGAGGGGAGAAGACATTGAGATGGAGGCATCTCCAGTTGCTATTCTAAATCACTGCACAGACACGGAATCATAGAATCGTTAAGATTGGAAAAGACCCCTAAGATCATCCTTTCCAACCGTCCACCTACCACCAATATTGCCCACTAAACCACAAACCACATCTTCTTCAAGCGTTTCTGGAACGCTTCCAGGGATGGTGACTCCACCATATATTCTCCTGGGACTGATCTGTCTGCTCCTGACTACGCAGAGGCATTCACTTCCTCTACCTCAAGCACTTTCTGGGCCCAAAGCACAGCTAACCCACCAGAGGTTCTGCTCAGTGCACAGTCCAAAGAACTAGATCACCTTCCATCCACATCAGGATTAGCATTTTCCACTGCCTCCTGCTCTCCACAAGAAGTCTTGTCCACTCACGTTATCTCTGCACATGGTATCTGCCACCTTTGTCAAGATAGCAATGGACTCTTCCTTCTTCTTACGGTCAATGAAAATGATTCCTGACAGCCAGCACGCGAGGCCAAAAGTGCCCATGTATAGTACTTCCTTCTTTGCAACGGGCACACAGCGATCTGGTAATATCTGCATCATCACTGGCAGGGAAGAACAAGGACAGAAAAAGTTTTCATCTTTTCATCCATTCTACACGGAGGTTCCCTCCAGCCCTCTGCTTTGGGGAACATCATGCTTGCAGCTCCCACCCCACGACAAGATGTTGGAAAAGGGATTTGGGGCATCTGTAGACCAACCTCCCACTCAGAGCTTTTGCCAACACTGAATAACCGTGACACCACCGTGGTCTGCTGATGTTCTCATCCCAGTTCTATTGGAAGGGATGAGTGAAGTTTCTTTAGCACTGCTATGCTCTTCTGCCTCAGAACACACCCTGGGCTTGGGGCTAAGATTTCATAACTGTGTAGCAAGCAGGGGAAGGCAGGATCAGGTTCCCCACGTACCCATTATGTCCAGGGAGTTCTGATGATTCAACACAAGTATGCAAGGCTTCTTAGTCCTGAGGTTCTCCTTGCCCTTCACCACTATCTTGATACCAAGGACGTATTTGGCTGAAAGAATCGCCATGCGCAGAATCCTGGAAAAGGGGAACAGATGTGAGCTAAAGAGAAACTAAAATTGAGCAAAGGAACCAAACACCAATCTTCCAGACAAGCCCACCTCACAGACTTCTCCTGAGGAGCCTGTTTGTCCATAGTCCCAGATTTAACTTGTCTGTCTGGGAGAAAAGCAACTATGATGGCTGTTCAGCTGCCATTGGAGAAAACAAATACAGCTGGCAGGTTTTCTTGGGGTAGGTTAGACCAATGGCCTAACAACTCCAAATACCACAGTTGTGTGGATCAGCCCATATATATTTGAATATAATGCCCAAATTCATAGTGCACCTGTTTGGACTCTACTCCACTGTCCAACTTGCTGAGCTGTGTGTATGAGCTGCAGTAAACCTACCATGCACCTGGCACACTTATTGCCCAAATAGTGGGAAGAGGTGATTTTGCCACTGGAGGACAGGTAGACATTGGAAAAATAAAGAAAAAAAAATCGGGCACAAAAGTCAAGAACTGAAGAAAATTTCTTAAAGTGAAAAGCTGAGGCTCAGAGAGGAGAGAGAACTGGGATCTTGCTCTGCAGCTTACACCTTCTGGCAGAGTGAATCCTGCCTCTGTAGCGCTTCAGGAGGCCACAAAGTGCCGGGCTGTTGTGCAGCTGACCCCAGCTCCCACCTAACCCACCGCCCCCAAACCTGTGCATTAATGTGCACTGCTGCTAATGGCATTCCAGCATACAACTAATTCCTCCCCACTGCAGCTCAGCTCCCAGGACCCTCCCATGCAGAGTGCAAGCTTCTTGCATCAATGCCCACAGCACAAAGAGGCCATGGCCAACTTACTTCATATTTTCACATCTGCGGCCACGAGGAAGAGCAATGATAATAACCAGAAAGCTGATGGCGAAGATCCACACCTGGTAGACGGTTATCATGCAGAAGTATCTGAATGTAGGATACATCCAGCAAAGGATTAGAACTGCAATGAGCAGGAAAGTAAATGGATAGTGAAGAAGCAATAGCTCCATCCTTCAGCCCAGGGTCAACCAGAGGAGCGTTGCACAGTGCAGTAAATGAGCAACTGGCACCCAATGTTGTGGAGCAGAGTTTAGATTCTTCTGATCATTGTGTGTAGGTGGTGCAGTGATGGAATGAGACTCAGGAGAGACGCTTCTGCAAGGCTGGAGCTCCCCGTGAATAAAACCACAGAAAGCTGGTTTAGCAAGGGAGCTGCAGAGCTGCTGTGTGTGGGAGCTGGCTGGCAAGCAGAGGAAAACATGCAATAGCAAGGCTCTGCAACATGGAGGGTGTGTACGTGGCTGTGGGCTGGCTGAACGCTGTATGCACACAGCCCTCCTTTAGGATGGATATTAGGAAAAACTTATGTGAAAGAATGGTGATGCAGTGGCACAGCTGCCCAGAGAGGTGGTGGGGTCATCGTCCATAGAGGTGTTCCAGAGCCCTGGGGATGTGGCACTGAGGGAGGTGGGCAGCGGGCAGTATTGGTGGGAGGTGGACAGTTGGACTGGATGATCTCAGAGCTCTTTTCCAACCTCAGTGATTCTGTGATTTTGTGATTCTATAGGGCAGGAGCCTTCTGTCACAAGCATGCTTCTGTGTCAAGCTCTGTGCATGAGAACTGTGAGCTGACCGCAAGAGGTCCTGGAAACCAGAAATCAGTATTATGGAGAAAAGTCAGAGAAATGCAGTGATCACAGCAGACAGCCCCTGGCCCACACATATGGGCATGAGAGGCACTGGGCTCAGCAATTGGACATTCTCAGCTGGGAAAAGTGACAAAAAATGTCACGTGTCCAGACAGTAAGATAAACAAAGTGACGTTTCCATGGCCAGAGGCAGACGTGTGTTCAGACAGCATCTCCATATGTGAAGAGGTAAATCAGGATATTGCAAGTAGAACCTGGGAGTGCTCTGACAGTGTTTCAGCTCCTGAAGACTGAGCGTGAAAAGGATCTGTGCAACAGGACTTAACAACAAAATGAACAACGATAAATTCCAAACAGTAACGAGATCTACAGATTCTCAAAGGACCTTCGGGGGACCCATAACCCATAGTCACTAAAGCCTAAAGAACAAAATCAAACCCCTGAGAACAGTAAAATGGAGAAGACTCAGCAGCAACTCACCAAGAGTGGAAAGGCATGATAACAGAGGGAGGCACTGGTTGTGCTCCCTGTTCCCTGGGCTTACCCAGTGACCTTGCTTTTCATGGGAAAACTGGAGATAAGTGACTGCTCAAGGAGTTTTGGTAACCACAGGAGAGGCAGCCAAAGCAAAGTATTGCAGCCACAGCTTCATCACCTCTCTGTTTGCTGTTGCAGAATTGGGCACGCAAGATACGATTACGTACCTAACACCTATTACTTTTGCCCTGTCCCATACCAACCCTACCCAGATCAGTGATGGTCTTTCACACTTTGGTGGAGGCTGATTTGATGAGCAATTTTTCCATCCTGTTCTACCAGGAGACTGGTTCCTGTAATGTAATGCCCGTGAAAGAGACCAATCTCAAAAACATGTCAGATATGCAAGAGTGTGCAAGGCTGCTGGGTGTATGAGGCTTTCAGCAGTTGGTAATGTCTCTCACGAGTATGGGAAAGTGCAAGATGTAATAAAAGTCATGCCTTTCCTAATTCACAGTGGAGGGATAATTAGTTCACTTGGCCTCCAAGCACACTGATACTAAAATCCTCTGATATAATTTTATTCTGTTGCAAGGATCTGTTGGATCAAGACCCATCACACTCCCATCCCAGAAGGTCTTGCATAACCTTCCAGGTGTTTTCAGAAATGACAGCTCTAATGCAGCTCCTTCAGACTAAACATACCTGTTCAGCTGGCTCCCATTTCCCCCTGTGTCTTTGAAACCTCTTCAGAGAAATTTAAATGCATCTTATGTAGGGGGGAGGGGGTCTTGATTGTACTATGGGCTTTCATCAAGAAGCTTCAATGACTCTGACTCACAGATCTGCTCAGCCAAACACTGGTCAGAAGATGGTGTCTAATGTGATGCAAAAAGATTAAGACAACTTGTTCACAGCAAGCACATAGAATCATAGAATCATTAAAAGACCTTGAAAAAGGCCTCTAAGGTCAACCAGTCCATACAGGCAACTGACCATGTCCCTAAGTTCTACATCTGCCCTTTCCTTGAACTCCTCCAGGTTGACTCAGTCACGTCCCTGGGCAGCCCAATGCATCACCACTCTTTTGGAGTTTTCCCTAACATTGAACCTGAACCTCTGCTGGCACAACATGAGGCCGTGCCTCTCATCCTACCACCAGTTACCTAAAGACTTTAAAGAAGGCTTAAAAGAGATCTGACTGCTGTCAGTAAAGCAAACCTGGACAGAGGAGTTAAGTAAAAGATCACAATTGACTTCTTAGTGAGAAAGGAATTATTTCAAGATGAAATCAGTGGACTGGATACTGGAATGGGGGCAGTTCCCATGGAAACTGCTGGCACAAATTTCTCCATTGGAACAGATTGGAACAAGTGATCGAAAAACGAAGTATTGGGACTGCTCACTGCCAGGGACCACATCAGTCCTCAAAAGGAGAATGGTAGTAAAGGGAACTCAGCTATAGAGACATCAATACTGATGTTAAAAGCTTTGCAAGGATTGTGGGGTAAGTATATTGAGAAGGGAGACTAAGGAAGCTGTATTTACCATGCTCCTGCTGTTGCTCCATGATGAATACACATATAACCCAGTTGTATAAGGCACAGATAAGCTTTTGTTTTTCCTTATGAGTGAACAGATAGATGGAACTTCCCATTAATGATAGAAAGAGAAGTGTTTCCACAAGATGCTGATTCATGAAGCTTCCTCTGGCATCTGTGACAGAAGAGCTTGTGCTCTTGGACTTTCATACCTGGAGAGAGCACACAGGACAGCCAAGAGACCTGGAAAATAGAACAGGTTATCACTGTAAATCAAAGAATCATGTAGAAAAATTTACGACCCTTGGAGATCTGCAGTCCAACCAGCTGCTTGGGGCATGGTGAATCCCAACACCACACAGATTTGTTCAGAGACTTTTCTGGGTGAGGTTGGAATAACTCCAAGAATGGAGATCCCAACAACTCTCTAGTCCTTGTCTCAACATCGCACTGTTATGATGGTGAAGAATGTTTTTTCTCTATCTAGTGGGAATCTCCTGCAAAGCCCTGGTCCTGCGGTGCATGCACTTCATGCATTTGATAGGCAGTTTGATCAGCCTAAGAAGCTTGATTCAATTTTCCACATTTCGGCTTTGCACTCAGATGAAATTGTGAAAATAACTCCTCCGTGCATACAGAAGGATCGGGGGTGATTTTGAGCCAATTATCTGGACTCAATGATCTTTGTAGGGTCTCTTCTGATTGAACTGTTCTGTTTCATCTTCATTAAGTTAACTGCTGAAGTTGAAAGGCAATGAATGCATCCTTTTGTGTTACCAATACTAGAAAACAAAAGTCAGAGATTGAGACAAACATCCCCAGTGCAGTCAGGCATCTCACACCCATCACCTCTGTTGACTCCCTCGAATCCTTCAGCACAAGGAACTTATCAAGGAGGCAGTGAGCTTCAACCCACTGCCAGGGCATGTTAGCATGTGAGAGCCCTTCTGTCTTCAAGGCATGCCCGGGCTGATGTTTGTCAGCCTGCACACCTGGGACATTTTGGTACCTCAGTGTCTTGGCCAAGTGCAGGGAGAAATTGTTATCCACACCTCTTCTTTGTCTCTGAGGATCTCACACATCTCTTCCAGTTTTAAAAGAGATAAAGAGGATGTTCCTGTCAAATGGTTTTTGGAATTAAATACCAAGCAAGAAATACCTCCAGCAAGAAATGCCATCCTTCATTACAGATTCATGGGTTCTGCACTTGAATCTGCTTGCCCAATATTCCCAAGTGAAACCTACCACCATCCTCCACTTGTCTCCGATTACTGCACCTCTTACAAAGTGCATGGAACATTTTGGTCTCAGCTCAAAGTTGCAATTTATTGTTCAATAATAGTTTAAGATGGCAAATTACAGAGGAAAGAGAAAGCAGTTTTGAACCCTTTAGGAAAAGAAATTGAGGGGAGAAATTAGATCATCTCCTTCTGTCTTGTACTTCAACCTGCCTATATTTTCTCTGGAAACTAGATTGCGTACTCCTCAGAAAACAATAAAAATTAAAAAAAAAGAAAAAAAAGCAAATCTGTTCCAATGCACCTTTTTGTGTAGATTGGAACCTTTGTGCTATTTCATGCAAAAAGAGGGTTCAAAACTTGTCATTTGACAGCAAAGCTTACCGGAACCCGATGCATGTGGCACTGCCTGAGCACACAGTCGGTTTGGTTTGCTTTGTGATATTGAGCAATTTGCACAGATCTGGAATATCTTTTCATGGTTTCCTTATCAGTGGATCCCATCTCTTTGGAAAGACTTCATGCAAACATGGAGCAAGCATAGACAGAAAAATGAACAACCAAACAATTAAAAGAATCCATCTCAGTATCTTCCCGAACCCAGACTTCTGGGGAGTCCTCAGCATTGCGCATTAGCAGTCACCAGATGCTTCTTCTGCAGGACATGGAAAAGCATGTGTTAACAAAGCAGAAAAGGACATGCCATAGCTGTCTTCTGTGATTCATTTCCATGGGTTAAACTGGACAGGAGGGCCCAACAGCTCGGGCACTGCCTTTGCACGGAGCAGGAGATTGCTCTGGACATCCCTCCCTGCTGCCAGCTTCCTGCAGCCCAAGGCCTTATTTCTCCTGGCCCTATGAGGTGGCATTTATGGAGGCACCTTGTCACACCTTCAATCTGATAGTGCCACGGCCCTATGGAGAACGTGACTTAACGTCCTCAGGCGAAATGGGGGCAGAGCTCAGCTGGGATTGTCTGAGCTGTTAATGACTGCAGAGATTTGCACTTGCTTGCAGGCAGGAATTGTCTGCTCTTTGAGGCTGATACCTTGCTCGGTACTTTCCTCCATCCACTTTGACTTCCAGGCTCTGAGGTCCAGCTTTGGGATCCTGCTGCAGCTCACAAAGGAATCAGGATGTCTGTTGGCCTGGAAGATATTTCTTGACACTTTAGAGATGCAGGTGTTGTCACATATTATTCGGAGATTTTGGCCAGTGAAGAGAGCTGCTGGGAAGTGAAAACCCCTCTGTTCTTCCACCAAAACCTGCAGGAAACATAATGAATGGCACAACAGATTTTTTTCCTCTTGGCTTCTTCTCATTCAAGATCCCTGCAATTATTTCCCATTAGAACCAACATATTTTTTTTCCAAGGCAAATTTTCCAGCTACTCAAAGCATTCACCACCACATCAGCAGACACTGGACATTCCTCTCTTACCTGTCCCCACCACGTGTGTTCCTGAACTGTGTGCCAGTGGGACAATCTATGAGAGGCCCAACCCTTCCTCCATCCACAAAGGGCTCTGCAGGTGCCCCAACCCAAATGTCACTGTTCCTTGGTGTCCCACACAGCCGCATGAACTTCTTTGCCAGACGGTCATTCTTCAATACTCGACCAAGTGACTTCACGTCACAGGGCTGGGGGAGCCCAC